GCCACATAAGCGAGTTAACGATCGAAATTAACGGAAGGACTAACGGAGTGCATTTCGTATAGTTGAGGGATCAAAAAAGTGCAAAAAATTGTTAAGGGACCAAAAATGTGCAAACCACTATAGTTGAGGGACCAAATCTAGCATTTAACCTTTTATATAATTATGAAGAGACAAAATTCCCAATTTCCGAGAGTAGTATGATGGAAGTGCTCAACTTTTGAAAATAAAGTGACAAAAGTTGTCTATTAATTAGATGGGAGAAAGTGCTCGTTTTTAAAAGTAAAAGGACGAAAGATCAAGAACTCAAATACTAACAATTAATATTAAAAAAATACAATTATTATTAACTATTTAAATATAATAAATAAGCTCGGTACATTGGTTCATTCAGATTTTGAAAACAAACCGGCATGTAACCAATTAGTACTTACTATAATGTAATTTTTTTTTGGTAAAAACATAAATTTATTTTGGGTAAACATTTAAAAAAGATTGTTCTTGGTTGGTGTAACATTTTATTTTGTATGGTAGCGGATAGGAGATTAAATTCCTTCCCCCACCAGTTTCCGCACTGCTCTCTGCAGCTTTATAATTATTCAATTGCAAGATAAAAGGAACATAGACGTCGATTATCTCTGGCAGATGACGCCGTGCCCATCAACTCCGCTCGCGCAGTTCAATCCCGGCAGTACCAAATTCTTGAAATAATTGTCGCCATGGATGCCACTGAACTGAGCAACCGCGCAATCGGGGGCGGAAATGCTTGTGGTTTCAAATTTTCTGTCTCCTCCCATTACAGGCATTTGTGCTCCAATGTTAACTCCACTCTTATAACCAGGTTTGTATGTCTGTCCCAAAACGCCCTTCACTTTATCGCTCAATGAGTAGAACTTGAATTCCAAGTCGAGATGCGCAAAGCAATCTTCTTTGGTTACGCCGTAGTTGTGAATCCTGGAGTCTTCCTCGGTAATGGGCACAACCTTGGCTGTGATCTTGAAATTCCCTTCAACTTTAATCACGACGTTGTTGGTGACACTGGCTCTGGTGATGGAGATGTTGGAGGTGGATTCAGGGTGCCACTTAGCGCCATAGGTTTCTGAGAGGGTGATGGGTTCCCCGTCAAAGGTGAGGCTGAGGCGGTCAACGCTGCCATCCCAGGTTGAGGTTTTTCAGGGCACCGAGGAAGAGTAGGTGTTTGTCGAAGAGCATTGCAATGGATTGAACCCATGTGAA